AAGCCCGAGCTGTGGATCCCGACATATCCCCTGCATAACACAACATGTTGACAGTAAGTTATAAGCTTTTTCAACAACCAAATTATATAACTGCAAAAACAATTTATGTGATAAATGAAGTTTCTCTGATAAATATATTTGTGAGTTATAATAAACCGCACTGGCATGACACTTTCTGACAAAACCAACCAATAGACGCAGAAAATTTTGTATATCATTCAACAGGTAAAAATTAAAATTAATCAAAGGCAGTGTTAGATGACTCAAGAACTAATAAAGAAAATCTTTTTTTAACCAAACCTAATAAATCTGTAAATTAAAAACGTGTCCAAATGAATAGAAATAGGCTAGATCCGTAGAATTAAAGTAGATAACAAGCAATACAAGTAAACTAGAAGGTGATAAAGAATCGGAAATCTTACTTCTTTGCCGCTTCACCATTAGCCTTGGCCCCAACTGAATCAAGGGCCTTGTCTTCTTCCTCGTCGTAATCAAGGAGCTCCTCCTCGTAAGCATCGTTATCCCTTGCTTCGCCCATTCTAATCACCCAAAAACTCCGCGATTCAGTCACAAATCTAAAGAAAATTCAAAAACAAAGCCGAATTTTGAAGAGAATCGAGGGTCGCTCACCTTTGAGTTCGAAGGCTAGAGATTAGGGTTGCTGAGTTAGGGTTTCGAGGCTTCTGCAAAGAAAATTAAAGATAAAACTAGGGTTCTTTGGGTTCTATCGGTGGATTAAAGAGAACTCGAGGTCAGAAGAAAGAACCTAGGGTTTCTAGAGGCGCAAAATCGCTACACCTAGGGTTTCGAGAGGGGTAAGAACCATTTCGGTAGAGGGCAATTTATAGAGTTAGGATTTGGGTTCGAGACAAGAGTCGGCTATCGCTTAGTATCCACCGTTCAATTTTTTATTGACGGTATTAGCCCTCGAGGCTCTCCGGAATCGTAGTGTTCAGAGTATCGTGGTTCGTATGGGTATTTCCGTCAATTCTTATGGTAGTCTTCGGCGGCTCAGATGTCACGTGCTGGATGTTGTCACTTTGTGCAAATGTTAATATCAATAATTGTGTCGTAGATATTTTTGGGGGGAAAGTCAGTTAATAATGGTTAATAGATAGAAATTTTACCTCGTAGACATATGCACACGTATCTTCATCCATCGAATTTCAAATTTGGTAATCCATATAAAACCCAGGGCATTAATTGGGCAAACTAAATAATGACTTCGTTTTATAATGTAGACTAATTGAAACTTAACAAAAAAGATTGGGAGGGTTCCAATTATTTTAGTTTTGGAGTATTTGACAAATCACAAGCTAATCTAAAGGTGTGAAGTGCATTTGTTGACAGACATGAATGAAAGTGTCATATTAGAATGCAAGTTAGATACGTCGCAAAGTGAATCTAAAAGTGTGAAAAGACATTGTTTACGAGCGTGAAATTGTCACATTAGTATGAGTATGCAAGTTAAATATCTTGTTTTGTTCAAAATATACTTGAAACTAGAAAAATAAAGTGTAAATGAAAGTGTCACATTAGTATGCAAGTTAGATACATTGCATAACAACTCGAAAGTGGATCTAAAAGCATGAAAGGGATTATTTTTATTTTTATTTTTTGATAGTATGGGTAAGAAAGTTAAATATATTCTTTTGTTCAAAAAATACGTGAAGGGAGGGAAAAAAGATTATAACGATAATATTTTTTTACTTAAAATAATATAGAGCTTTCGTAGTATATTTCCAAAGTAAATTTTTAAATTAACAGTGATCCCCAAATTACTCTCTCAGGTGATCCAACTTTTATAAGAAAAGTGAAATGTTGATTAAATCTGACTTGGACCTTTTTTTTTAAAACCATTTTACTTCTTAAGTGTTTTAAATAGAATAGATGCCAAAAGCCACTTATAAGCGAATTCATTTTTACTCTTGTAAGGGTCTGGTTGACAACTTTATAAATTGGGTCAGAGTTGAACTTGGTTCAATTATAGGTTGTTTTTTTAGTGCAAAAAACTAGACTAAAGATTTCTCACATGAACCAGTTTCAAAATCAAGTTTGGCTAATTTTCACTCAGTTGCCAAACATACCCTAAGTTCACTTTCATGCGAGCGCGCACTTTGCTAATACAAATAACGCACTCTATGAGTAGGACGTTTAAAGACGAAAAATGTTTGAGCAAAACTTTGCAGATTATTGAAGCAGGGGAGAGTAGGATGTTTACAGATGAAAAATGTTGAGAGCAAACCTCACAAAACTTTGTGTATTATTAAAAACACAAAATTTTATATATTATTAAAAACTGAGTACAAAATCAGTAAATATATCTGAAAATTTTGTATGTTATTAAAAACTGAGTACAATATCAGTAAATATATCTGAAAATTTCATGAAGTGTGGTTACCGATGAGAGAACATCGAACAGGAAACCAGAATAAAATTGGGCAGAAATAGAAAACAAAACACATGTCAAGGACTTTTCAATAGTTAAATCAATATTGTGAACATTTATTCTGATAACCAATATCCCTTTCCATGCAAATTTAACAAGCACTTTGGAGATCAAAACCCTCGCAGCTAACAGGCACACGTATGCTCAACCAAATTGATCAAAATCTCAAAATTAAAGCCAAGAATATACTAGTCCTCATACAACTTATGGTCATTAGACTATGCTTTATGATTACATTGGCACTGTATGGAACCTTCTTAAATGAACTGGCTAACCTTAACAACTCCTTGATACACCATGCGGCAACACTAACTAATCCTGGGTGCATAATGCACTAGAATATAGACGCATTCAGGCTTTGATTCAATGTTAAATTTCTAGCTCCTTTTTTTTGGTCAGGATGACTTCTCTGCCAAATAATGTTCCAGCATATCTTCTTCTTCATCATCTGCAATATCACTCGAAGAGAAAAATCCATATATGAGATATCCGAGTTAGTGAGATATATCAGAGGCTTAATCCTAACGCATTTACTCTGATTCATGATATATGATCACTCAATTATATATGATAAAATCAGTAAATCGAAGACACCACCTTCAAAGTCATCATCAAAATCAATATCCTCGTCGTCCTCTTCCTCAGACTCTTCGTTGACAGCAGTAGCACCTTTCTGGAAGAAAAAGAAAACGGTCACATGATTGAGAGATACTACAGTCTTTTTATCAATCAATTTCGGGGGAGAGGAGGAGGAAAAAAGAAAGAAAGATACCGCTGAAGCTCTTCCACTCTCAAACCATTGCCTTCCTGTAAGCTTCTTCTCCTTTGGTGCACTAAGCGCCGATTCTGGCATTAGCCTGACAAATCAGCTGCTGTTAGTTTTCAGTTCTGCAAAGGATGCTAAGAATTTGTAGAGAAAGAAAAAAAAAACCCTGCAATATTTACTTGGCTCGCTCTAGTGCTAATTCGGCTTCAAATCGTTCTCTCCAAGCAAGAAAGCTTTCTACTGTAACTGCTTCTCCATGTGGAATAATTATCTGGAAAGTATGACCACAACACGTTAAGCATGAAGCAAAATATGTGACACTAATCTTTCTCAGAACTCGACGTAAATAACTTCCAAGGGTATATGAATCAGAATATGTGACACAAAATAATGAAAGCATTCTCCCAAGGGAAACAGATTAGCCGTCGCCTTAACGATCGATGTATGTAGCTTAAAGGAAAAAAATTACACAGCAAAGAATAATAACAATACCATCAAAGAGAAGAAACCCCACCCCACCCCCCAAAAAAAAATCCCCCCAAAAAAGGAAAAAATGTCCTGCAAAGCGATTCCCAGTATATTTGTGAACTGGTTACCTCCGGCACACGAATTAGTTCCCCAAAATTGGCGTACTATTTTCATGTATGTAAAGCGCAAAGTACCTTTCAGTGCACATGCCCAAGATGCGATGCAATGCAATGTATGCAATCGAGTGAAGGAAGACGCATAATGGAATATACGAGTCAATGACTTCATTGTAACTAAATATGTTTGTTAATAAAACATGAAATGGAACCATCATACCACACAAACTATGTGAAAAGAAATCCAGACCAAAGAAAAACGAAGTCTAAAAAAAGTAAAAGAAAAAAAGAAACACCTTGGAAATGTAGGGGACAGTCTAAATAAAAGAGAACAAACTCCATAAAAAAGAAGCACTTGAGTATTCTGCATGAAAACATATTAAAATGCATAATTAGCTTTCTAGTTTCGAGTTTTCTAATATACACTTTGGAAAATAGTAAGCACACCCAAAAAAATAATAATGTATCATATACTGAACTTGTGCACCGAAGCACGCTACCCCCTCGAATCCAAATTTTCTAAGTGACGAACTGCATACCCAAATTCATACCATGACCCGCTACGCACTGCATACTACATAACTATGGAACTACATTACCAAGAAGGATAGCAAACAATAAATTCCCTATCACAAGATAGTAACAAGTTCTATAACTAAAAGGTGAAGGGCAAAAGCGTATATCTCACTATAAAAGTGTGCTGAAATGTGCATGTGCTGCTAGTTGATCATCAGGATTCAGAAGGAACCGCCCATGTAACAAATTAAGCTGACATTTGTATTCCTTGGTCAAATGTTGAAAATTAAAGTATAAAAGAAGAAACCACTCAGTTTCCTCTAACACAGCTTAATTGGCTATGAAAGGCGTTCTGATGATCAGCCAGTTGAAACTTAGTAAATCTACTAAGATTAGCCTTGAAATTACTCCACAACACCCGCCCTCCCTTTCCCAGCCCCCGCAAAAAAAAACCCAAACGACACACCCCAAAAAAGGAAAAAAAAACAAAAATAGGGGGCACTCACAGAAAGAGACATAATGAAGAAAATGAGAAGAAAACAATAGCTAGTATTAATATCACGAAGGTGTTTGAGAGGGGCATTTTGTAGAAGCTTATGAGCTACTCGAGCTTTAGATAGCTTTTGGCTTCTTATGATAATAAATTTATAAAAGTTGTATGGATAGGTCAAACCTACGTAGCTTATTTATGCCAGCTATAAGTTAGTTCTACAAAAGCTGGGGAACCCTTTTAATTGGACTTATAAGCTTGCTCATTGGAATTTACCAAATAGTTAGATATGAAAAAACTAGTTTAAAAGCTAGTTTGGCAAAACATGATCCACCACCCCACCCCCCGCGAGAAACAACCACCACCACACACACACAAAAAGGAAAAAAAACACCCTCTATATTGAAACAAGCAAGTAGAGCATAACGACCACATTTCTGACGTATGGTATCAGCAGCTAACACTGCAGTAAGAGAACCCAAAATATCACAATAAGAGAACCAAGAATATCAAACTAAGAGTACAGTAAGAGAACAGAAAATATCAAACAAAAGCAGACCTTCTAACTCAGAACATAGATCACCACGAAGTAGGAAGTAAAAAAGAAAGGGAAAAAAAAGCGGAACAAAGGGCCATACATCTTCTTTTGCAGTATCAGTTTCCTCTAACTCAGCTTCTTCCTCATGGCCATATTTTTCACTCAACCACTCTTGGGCTGATGTAACAAGTGTGTAAATCATCGCCATTCCAAGATTATCAGATGCCTGCGAAAGGTAAATGTTAGGGTTGAATGGGCAAAAGGGCTCACATTGCCAAACAAAGGATTGGGATAATAAGGCTGTCGCCATCACTATGGAGTCACAAATATGTAAAGCTTGTAGGGTCTAGAATCTTTTAGGCTTTAGCCTAGGATGCTATATTATGTCAAACCAAGAAATGGTGACTTTTTGGCTGGGGTTAGATTTGATGCCATCAGTATTACTATTTCAAAGGGTAACTTCCCATATAGTCGCAAAAATAAAATAGAATGAGACTTAACATAAATCACTCAGTATGACATATCATGCAACACACATGAGAATTAGTGGCGTAATATGTGTTTTTAGAGCATCACACGTGATTAAGAAGGTAATGTAGAGTTCATCATCTAGAAAAGGTTGCTAAAAGGATAGCTTGGTGGCGCCATGGTTAGGTTCTTATCTAGTTGCATAACTTAGCCTGAAGTCAGGAACAAGGACAACATGCAAGTTTCCTGCTCACTGATTTCTTATAAATAATGATTATGTCATCATAATACAAAATAAAAGAACAATGATGAATTCCGCAAATAGACATCAAATAGAGACAGAGAAATAATTGACATAAACATGTACCTCTTGTTCAAGATTTTCTTTTAGCACTTGAAGATCATCAGGTTTTATTCCACGTATACTGCACAAAGAGATAGCATTATGAAGAGGGTACAACAGTTAATGACCATTTATCGTAACATCACAGCATGATACTTGCTGAAATAAGGAAATAGAATAGAAGAAGGTAAACAGAGTTAATAACACGTAGGGATCATCAGTACAAGAAACATTAGGGATCATCATCAATACAAAAAAAATATTCGAATTCTAAAGATAAGAAAGAGTCAAGAGCGTACCTTTTAACATTCAGAAGAGGGGGTTCATCTGGATATTTTTCCGTGTGTGAGAATATTAGAGCTAATTGAACTGTAAAATAAAAATTGATTTCATCCTCCAGTTCCAATATAAACAGGACAGCGTTAGTAGTATCATATAAATGCAAGTACGTGGAGTTTCCCAAGTGAGAACAAAAAAACCCTCCATCTTCAATCCTACTTTTGAGTGCTCAGTTATTTTGTATACACATACATATGTGACTGAGACTCCGCTCAAGATTGTATACACATGTACATATGTGACTGAGACTCCTCTCAAGATTTTGCAGTTAAAACGCATATAGAGACACTAACAATTGGTTTATAATATGTGTATTTAAATTCCGGATATTGTTGGGTGCTATTTCCCTTTTACTTTACTATCTCCATTATCTCTTTCATTTTCCACCGATCACTCTCCACAAAGTTGAAGTTTTTCTGCCTCCCCTAGGTTTCTCTAAGGGCTCGTTTGGTATGCGGGAATGAGTGAGAATGGAATGCAATTCTAACTCTTTTTTCCCACGTACCAAACACGATGTATTTTTAGATGTTAGAATAGAAATTCTCACTTCTTATCAATTCCCACTTTATGTAGGAATTGTCATTCCCAACCATTTAACAAGGAATTGATATTCCCACTTAAGTGGGAATAAAAATAATCAAATAAATTCCAATTATACCCTCCTTAAAAGATACAAATAGATATAAATTCCCATATGAAAATTATTTTTATAAAAAAATAACTTATCTTAAGCTACTAGTACAAATATATAAATAAACATAAGCATGAATATAACTTGCCCAGTTCCAATATACAAACATCATTCCTAAGTAAATTTATATCAGTGACCTTGTCATAGTTCCAATATATTGTGATATTATTGTTTAATAAATCTCTGATATTGTTCATTCGTTCCTAAGAAGTATATTAACGTGGACCTTGCCTTAGTTCCAATATCTTTTAATAAACTAGATATACTTTGGAGTGACAAACTAGTTTATCATTTTGTAATTTCAAAACTTAATATTTTGATACTTTGATGGTTGTCCAATTATTTTGCTCGTACTATTTTATGGATATTTTGATTAGAATTTGGATATTTCTAATAATTTGTCGAATGTGATAGTTTATGCATATAAAATTTTAAACTATAGATACTATCGTTTATATTAATTTTGACATATGGATGATAAATTGCACTTTTTCCCTTTATTTTCCCCCCCGAACATGAAATCTCAAAATTTCTTTTATCAGGAGATGTTGTGAAGAGTGCCCAATTATATGAAATATCTCTTATAAGGCATTCTTCTCTTCACTAATGCACTATGAAGTTAGTAACATTAGCTGCTCGTACAAATAATAGACATGTAGCACTAGAAGTTAGAAAAGTAAAATTATAATTATTTATAATTAAAAATAATTTCTATGAAAATTATTTTTCAATTTGTAAGCCAAAAGTCCGAAATTGTTACCGAAACGGTGTGCCAAAATATAATTATTACATGAAAATTTATTTCTCTAAGGAAAAAATATCATTTCTATGAAACTTATTTTTCTAAAAAAATAAAGTATTGTCATTTTTAAAATATTTTTAATTTTTTTTAAAAATTTGTGTTTTGGTAAGGGAATTATTAGAAAACTAAATTTTATTCTCACTTGTGAACAAATGATACCAAACGTGAGAATAAGAATAGGATTGTCATTCTCGTTTCATTATCTAAACGCGTCCAAACATGAGAATGAGAATGTGTATTTCATTCCCACATCTATTCCATTCCATTCCTAGCTTCTTTCCATTCTCACTTGACACCATTCTCGCATACCAAACGAGGCGTAACAGAAGAGGTGCCTCTCCTTAGGTCATCCCTCTTTATCTTCTACTCCCACCAGTCACCACAGTCTGCTGGTCTGCCCTCCTTTTTACTCAACTTCACCCGCGCCATCAATCTTCTCCCACTTACTATGGTCATTGCCCTCTTATCTGCTGCTGTTTTCTAATGCAATCCACCAACTACCTACTTAATAACAATTACCCCCGCTTCTTCCTCTCTGCCATTGTTACTACTTATTTTTACTCCAATTAAGGTGATAAAAAAGAAAAGATGAGTGATGATAGGAGGAACACGATGATAGGTGGATACAGGTAGTGGAGAGTGGAGGGGATGAAAGTTTCCAGGATTGGGATTAGGAATCGACATATTGTCATGATAGTGAGAAAGCAGCAATGGGAGAAAAGAGATACAACATACTAAGTCGAAGCGAGACATGTGGCTAAAAATGGACAAGAATATCATTTAATTAGATGCTCATTTTTTAATAAGATGAGTTTTAACACAATACACCCGCACCATTATTACAAAAGTAGGTCTATATCATAATTAAGCTAGATGAATTTTAACAGCAAAAAATGTGCAATAAAACATAATGGGGTTAATTAAAGGACCTGGAGTATAGTTTGCCTCATCCACATCGTCATCCTGTTCCATAGATAAAATAAATTCAATATACTAGGATAAAGAAAAAAACAGCACAAATCAATTTGTTGTTAAAAATGCAATTATATCGAGTAACATTAACAAGTTAAAGTTGTAAATTACCACGAGAAAATGGGTTTCCCATAAACCAATGAACATAGGAACAACCACATGCTTTTTGAGAAAAAAGGAGACACTAGATGCAAAACAGTTTGCTTAGAGCCAATTACTAATGTGAACTAACAAAGAATGGCATTCATCCACAAGTATAAGCAAAGTTATGCACCACCATCTTCTAGCCTCCAAATGTTCAGGGATGAGCAGCAATACAAACTAGATAACAAAACCAGCAAGATTTCATTTTCAAATTGCATGCAAGTTTTATCTTCTGCATTTACTCTATGCAGTCAAGTTAAATATCTTTCTGACTGAAGTACGAAATAACCTATGAAGCTGATCCCCAACCATTTTTCTTATTTGCATACAGCTGGTTCAGACATCTGAATCCCACAGGGTTTAGAAGTAAATAAACACAAATTATATATTTCACTAACATACTTGTATTTAAAAAGAATTGGAGAAAAAAAAATTATTTACAAGATTCAACTTTGGCCTGGATCCTAAGACTAAAACTAATAGAGTCAGAATCACACTATAATATATCTGATCTGGTGCAGGCTAAGTCCATGTGTCCATGTCATGGGTAAAAAAATGTTTCCTCTTTGGAGAGCTATTTTATTTTTTGGTGTTCCACGCATCTATCATCCAAATCAGAGAGAATTAGAGAGGAAGTGGCTTTTCAATCTCTTATTGGAATAAAACTACACTTGATGTTGTAGAATAAATATGACCAAAGGATAAATGTAAGTAAGAGAAAAAATTGCGAAAAGTTATTCATGAAAATAAAACCGTTCGAAAATGTCAGCTAACATGGCAAAAAGGAACTCCAAAGTAACCATTAAATACACTTTAGGAACGTAGAACAAAATCACCAACACCAAAATCCAGCCAGACTCTTGTACACTAGCACCTACCACTTATTTCTCTTTCTTTTTCTGCTTCTGCATGGTCATAACCTATAAGGATCTAGTGTGAATTAAATAAAACAAATGATCTACTAGTGCCAATTGCCTGCGAAAACACCATTGAGAAGGAAACATATATATCTTTTCTTAGAAGTCAGAACATTTAAGGGCTAATAGAAGACAAGCTGAAACATGATCCTTGAGAGATGCTTGTTCCTGACTAACTAGATATAGTGACTCCTACTATTGATGATCAAAACTCTCCTTAGTTGCAGAAGAACAAAACAAAAGGAACTAACTGGTAGTCGTCTACTTCATGAATTGCCCAAGATGACAGGTCACACGATAACATCAACGAGCTAGTTGGTAGCTGGGCATGTTATCCTTTTGAGGCACAAATCTATCCTCAGGACAATCTTTGAGACATCTTCTTATAATATTTCATTATAGGTTATATATCTACTTTTGGTGTACACTGTAAGCTCGATAAATACTCATCAAAAGGATCAGACGACAGTAGTAGGATCTATACATCCAAAACGGATGCCCGCCATGTTGGTTCACCTTTTTTTAATCTTTTTTGGCTGATAAACACCTTTCACATGTTATGGTCATGATTATAAACAGTCTAAAAAGTTAAAAAACTTTATATGATAATTCCTTGAAATTTCCCTTCCTAGGAAGAATTAAACTGATTGCATAAAACAAACCATCTATAAGCCGTATGAATAACTCCCATCTTCACTTGATGATATCAAATGTCAACAGTTTCAACTGACTGAAAATTTAAACTCTGAAGGTCTTCCATGTATATCAAATTAAAAAAAAAGTCCTCCTTTCATCATTCTTAACTGCAAGTTACTTTCTTTTTAAATATTCAAACTAAAATCAACGTTCTTACTTGAGGCGATAGAGTAATCTGGAAGCAGCGATTCTTTGTACCAAGCCCGCTATCACTAGATTCGATCTCTGTTGACAAATTATTCAAAATAAAATTAGAATTACTCTGACTGACAGCATGCTAAAAGAATTGCACCAAAACCAATATACTACCTTCGATATCATCCATCAAAATTGCTTGCAGTGCTTCGATCTCCATCTCCTGCTCTTGTGCGTGATCTGCAACAGCGATTAGAGTAGGAAAGAGGATGAATTTGGATAAGCAATCTAGAGTTAGGGTTTAGATTCGACTGGTTACCTGACATCTTTGCTTGAATTCTAGGGCTTTGAATTGAAAGATTGCAGTTTTTCCCCCCTCTTACTTTTGTAATTTGTTTCGGGTTTAGGGGGAGCGATGCTCGCTGCTGGTTGTTGGAGAGAGGTCGAACCCTTCGGAGGCGACAGACCTAATAGAACTGTGGTCAGGAAATCTAACCGGCTAAATTGTAGAACAACCCCTCAAAATTACGCTATTTGCATTTTTCTATCATATGATTTTGAGAATAAATTGCAGATAACCCCTCAGGTGTATATCGGTAACAGATACCGGCCCCAACTCTTTATTATTGAAACTTATCAACACTGGACAGGTTGTTTGTCCAAATAAATTGCGAACAACCCCCTCTGCCTCATGAATCTAGAACGTAAGTGCTAATAAAATAGTTAAGAGGCTTACTAGAGATGAATGTTGGGCTTAACTACATTATAGTTTTTCCTAATTAGCAATTACATCACCATCTGTTTCTTTGTGGCCCTAATATGTACTTAAGTCTTTTTACACTTATATTTGGTACCTTCTATAGTGGAAACGTCAAAATATTCCTCCGAAATATCTAGTGTGATGCTCATAGTCTAGTTGTAGAACAATTTACCTTTAATATTTGTTTAATTTATTGCCAAATCTATCCTAGTCCTATCTATGAAAATTTCACATAAATTTGCATGTCTTTAATAGTAAATTAATCTTAGAAAAATATTTAACGGTAAATTCAACAAACGCTAAAGACTAAAAGTTTGAAAATTAACATGTGAGTGTCTCGAAATATTATTCCAGTGGTTCATAGCAGAAGTACCAAAATGTCAATATAAAAAACTTCAGTTCATACATACTTGCCCAACCTATTTTCTTGTGATTTATTGATTTATCTATTGATTTTTATTTTCAGTCAATATTGCCTTTTGGGGGGGACTGTTGGATGTTTAGCTCATAAAAAGGCAATTTTGCCTTTGTGAATAGTCCCACATTGGAAAATGAAAGGAAGTCCAAGAGGTTTATATTGTTTCATCTCATTTTGGGCTTTGAATAGTGTTTTGGGGCTTTATATTTGGGCTTTGCACAACACACGCGCGCGCACGCCTCGCCACGCCGCACGCACGCGTGCGCCACACCGCACACGCTCACGTTTTTTGTTCTTCTGTTTTTTATTTTGCACGTTTTTTGTGTGCATAACGGCTGCGGGATTTTGGGTAACGGTCGAACGTTTTCAAATCTTGTATTCATTATTTGATTTGTAACGGTTCTTTCCCAACACTATATAAACAGCCGAAGAGCAAGTGGAAAAATACAACAACAATAATATTTCTTCTCTCTTTTCTTCCAAAGCCTCTTTTCTGATTTGCTACGGTTTATTTGGGCAACCATCTTCGTCTGAGCAGAAGCTCTGCTACTCTCGCCCGAGTTCAGAGGTCGGCCGCTTCCGGGGGCTTTTACCGCTAGGGGGAGAGGATCAACTGCGCCAGAGCGATAGGCGGGTCCTCAATCTTCTAGAACAGTGATTACACGACTGCTCCCGTCAGGCCTGTTTTTTCTGATCTAAAAGATTTTATTTTGGGTTTAATTTTATGCTATAATCTTAATTATTTGATAAATTTCCAACAATATATATATATATATATATATTATATATATATATATATATTATATTATATATATATATATATATATATAATATATGGAAATGTTTTTTTAAGGTGACACCTTAGATTCCCACCTAAGACGCGGTCTAAAATCACATTATTCCCTTTTTTTTACAATCCGCTCCGTTGTACTTGATCTACCCGTTCTTAGACCCAAACACACCAATTTTGGGTGAACCCGTCGTGTTTTGACCCTTCACCACTCACCGCAATTTTAACAGTTCGAACGAATAGAACTTTTTGCACGTTCAACGAATGGTCAAAACACGACAGATTCACCCCAAAATTATTATGTTTGGTCGTTTAAGAACGTGTAGATCAAGTTCAACGGAGCGGATCGCAAAAAAAATTTAGGGAATGATATGATTTTAGACCGCGTCCTTAGGTGGGAATCTAAAGTGTCACCTTAGATAAACATTATCATATATATATATATATATATATATATATTATATATATATATATATTATTATATATTATATATATATTATAATATATATATATATAATATATATATATATATATGAGAGAGAGAGAGAGAGAGAGAGAGAGATGGAGAACCTTCGGTACCAAAATTCTTCATATAATTTTGTAGTGAGGTGGCCAAACCTCACCCCTACATCATGCCTCGAAGATAGAGCCTCTTTTTTAGAGTAGGTAAATAGTGATGGAGACTTTCTCTTCAAGACGTGATGTAAGGTTGAGATTTGGTCACCTCACTACCTGCTTTAAAAAAGGGGCTCCATCTTCGAGGCATGATGTAGGGGTGAGGTTTGGCCACCTCACTACCAAGTTTAATAAAAGAATTTGGTAACAATGTTCTCCATATTTCTCATATATATAGAGAAATATGGAGAACCTTGGTACCAAAAGTTCTTTCATTGAACTTGGTAGTGAGGTGGCCAAATCTGCTCTCTACATCACGTCTCGAAGATGAAGCCTTTTTTTTGGAGTAGGTGAATAATGATTGAGGCTCTATCTTCAATACGTGATGTAGGGGTCAGATCTGATCATCTCACTACCAAATTCAATGAAAAAATGATACAAGCGTTCTTCTGTTTTTCTCATATATATATTATTATATATATATATATATATTATATATATATATATATATATATATATATATATATATATATATATATATATATAAATATATATGATTTGTATAGTTAGTGTGTGTGTTCAACTCTACATATGTACGTCAATATTTTTATAAAAATATTCAAATTATACACCCTCATTTGTTTCTTGCGACATTTAGAGGCTTTTTGGTTGTATGTTTTTACCATGTAAAAGGATGGAAAGTGTAAAAAAGTTGGTTCCAATGTCAGCTTTCATCACTTTACATTGTTTGTTTAAATTTTCTTTTACATGAAAAGCTTACACCTTTTGATGAGGTGTCACCGAAAGCAAAATCGCCAAAATTAGAAGTGATTTTGTTGGAAAGCTGACACAATGTCATACATGTGTCCAAAAAATAATAAAAAAATCAAAACCTTGTAGAAAGTGGTGAGGTGGATAACCACTTTTCATTTTGTGTCATAAATACTCTAGTTTATATTATAATATCCAAACAATGTAATACTATTATTTTAGGATTCATAAAGATTCCTAACCAAACGATATTAACACTCGAATGGAAAGTGATGAGGTGGATAACCACTTTCTATTTTGTGTCATAAATACTCTAGTTTGCTAAAGGCATCCAAACAACCCCTTATAAATCTTGAATTTAAACTTGGCTGAAAGTGCAAGAACATTAATCCAAAACATTATCATCTAATGCTGGCATGCCGAATTTAAAACTTTGTTTATTCTTAGTGTTTCTTTAATCTAATGTTAAAATTATCTTAGTTCTATTTTGAAATATTTAATTAGTATAAGCCTCTTAGACTCTTAGTGAATCTAACAAAAGGTAAAAGGCTATAAAGTTTAGATGCAAATATGACATGAAAAAAATCGCAGGACTTAGGCCAGTTGGGCATTGCTCGAGCTTATAAAATAAACTTATAAAAACAGCTTATAAAATAAACTTACGTAAGTCATTGAAAATAGTTGTTTGGTCATTAAATATCAAAAACTAATTAAAAAGTAGTTAACGTGTTTGGCAAAACCGTATTTAATGATCATTGTTAAAAGATATAAGGTACTATGATATATAAATTTAAAAAAGCAGAAATTACTTTTATAAGTATCCTAATTGCTTCTCAAAACACCTCAGTAAAATCAAAAACAGTTTCAATAAGCATGCTAAAAATATTTTGGCCGAGGGCAATTCTCGTTGCTTATTTTTTAAAAAGAACAACTTAAAAAGAACAAGGCCAAACCGAACCTTACTCTGTTACCTTATATTTGCACGGGAGAAGGTGCTATCAAGCAAATTTATCTAACCTTATAACAAACCGATAATTGTTGAAATCTAGAAGATAAGATGAATGTGGACATTACTTGAATATGGACAATTAATTAGATGACAGAAGATAAGATGAATGTGGACATTACTTGAATATGGACAATTAATTAGATGACTCTTCATTAGCCCATGTCCTTTAGTCTTCTTATTATCCATCTATATCATTAGCCCATGTCCTTTAGTCTTCTTATTATCCATCTATATAATGTATGTCATGGACTACAAAATGTAAGGAGGAATGAGGAAGATGAATAAAATGAGAATCACTTTTCTCCCTATTTCTTCTCTTGTCTATTTATATTTAGATTTCATGTCTCTTGTCTATTTACATTTATATTTCATGTTTGATTCTTACTTTTGATATATATGATGTTTGTAGATATAACAATAAGATTACAACGCGTTATCAGCACGAAAGCTCTAGCTAGCCGGTTCGTAATCGTCCATTGGTGGTAAGAGATATTTCGGTGTACACCTCTTACAAGGTAACAATACATAATACATTCGACCTTTGTCTATTTACAAAGTTTCATTTTTTCGTTATCGGTTGATCGATTATGCCTCTGTAATAATGCATGAGCGAATAAATTTACAAGAGTCGTTATGATGAACAGTTCTTGAATTGCACAAAAAATGATTGACAAAGAACTTTAGGAACTGTTAAGAGGTTTGTTCTGTTTGAAAGATATATAAAAGAACAAATATTCAATATGTATAAACAGATAAAGCCTTCATCTGGATTAATATAAATCTAATAGTTCTAAATCAACCAGCTATAAAAGTAGAAGATTATCACAAACACAAACATCGGTAGAGGCTTTAATACTTGTAGAACAATTGCATGGTTATCATCACTATCACAGTGCATATTTTATGCAAAGAAATTGGTTTATTCATGGTGCTAACTTTGATTTACATGTTTCCTATGCAAAGAAATACGTTAACTCATAAGCTAACTTCTATTGGTTGATCGATCATGCATCAAGTGCTTGTAAAACTAATAGTTCAAGATAAAAATAAGGATTTTTGTGATCCATGAGTTGAGTTATCCTCATAATCGTGGCTTAAAGTATCTACAGTTGA